ACATTAATAACTCTCTAACGTCGACTTGATGAAATACTTGAGGGCGAAAGTTAGAGAGATCTTAGCGCCATCTACATTCTTTCTCGATGAATAACACACCATTTTTTTTTCTTTTTTCTTTTTCTTTTATCTATTATTTATTTATCATTGTTATTTTTTATTAAGAAGTGTGCGTTGACGGTTTGAATTGGCGTCGACGTTGAGGAGTTAAAAACCCTTATCGTATGAAAGCACTGACGTACGCGCCGAGCCTTGAGCCCTAAGCTGTTCGTTGTAGGGTTAAATACCTTTCTAACAAAGACATGGAATCAGGAATTCACAGCTAAGGTAGTGAAATCCTTGGAAGTAGGCCGAGGAGTTAACAGAGAAAGAGAGAGAGAGAGAGAGAGAGAGAGAGAGAGAGAGAGAGAGAAGAGAGAGAGAGAGAGAGAGAGAGAGAGAGAGAGAGGATAGATAGATAGAGAGAGAGATGGATAGATAGACAGAGAGAGAGATGGATAGATAGATAGAGAGAGAGAGGTGGGGTGGGATCCGTTTATCTCTCAGATTGCATTTATACTTATTGTTCAGTATCTCTCTCCACACACACACACATATATATGTACACGCACACACACACACACACACACACACACACACACACACACACACACACACTATATATATATATATATATATATATATATATATATATATATGTGCGCGCGTGTGTGTGTGTGTGTGTGTGTGTGTGTGTGTGTGTGTGTGTGTGTGTGTGTGTGTGTGTGTATACATATATATGTGTGTGTGTGGAGAGAGATACTGAACAATAAGTATAAATGCAATCTGAGAGATAAACGGATCCCACCCCACCTCTCTCTCTCTCTCTCTCTCTCTCTCTCTCTCTCTCTCTCTCTCTCTCTCTCTCTATATATATATAATAATATATATTATATATATATATATATGTGTGGTGTGTGTGTGTGTGTGTGTGTGTGTGTGTGTGTGTGTGTGTACGTATGTACATATGTATGAGTGTATGTGTATACACATATATAAACACACACACACACACATATATATATAATATATATATGTATAGATTGTGTATATACACATGAATACACACACACATATGTATATATAAATGTGTGTGTTTGTGTATATAACGAGTCTGGCGATCCGTGGCGCGCCTCATTGCTCATCCGGTCGACCTCCGGGGCGGTTCGAGCGCTGAGCGAGACGAGCCCTTAACAATAGCGTTATTCGTAAGAGAGTCACACTTGCTCGATAACAGGTGATAAGAAGAGTCCGACCAGCTACTCATGGAGACCAAGTAATCGCGCCTTATCAGGTCGCCGGCCGTTTAAGGGGCCTTGCCAGTTTTAATTGCTGTGCACTGAGGACCACAAGTATATGGCACCTTTTTTTCATTATCAAAAGAACAACTTTCGTTTAAATATTAATAATGATGTTATTATTATCATAATTTTCCTAGTATTATATACTATTTTTTTGTCGTAATATTTATCATTTTCATTTTAGTCATTGCGTAATATCCTGCAGTATTACTTTCTTCATGTCTTGCTGTATCTTATTCACCAGATGGAGAGGGACGATGAAGTGTCTTTCCCGAGGGATTATTGCAATGTTCCCCGAGGTCGTTGGCGGTGAAATTGTGTCCAACATCCCCTCGACAACAAGCCTCTCATATTGGACAACATAACACCTGGAATTGCCTTTAATAAATACTTCGTAAACTTTCATTCCGCAAATCTTCCCTTTTTATAGATAATTTTGTAGAGTCCGGTTGCTACACCGAATCTTCTACGAGATTTTGAAACCTATCATTTGCAGTGTTGATTTGTCCTTTTCTTTATCATCCTTCTCCCTTTCTTTGCATTTTGGAAGAAGTCGAGAGAGCTCCGTTTCTAGTCATGTGCTTACGGGCGCTAGGGTATAGTTTACAAATCTACTGGATTTTTCACAGATGAAGGACTGGGATTATGTCGAGGCAGCTTCTTCTGACAGCTGGGATACTCTGTGGAAAAAAAGATATTCCAAGAAGGACAAAAGTCCTAGTTGGTATCATCATCAGTATTATCTTTGTTAAGGTTACTTTTACCACTACGGTTAGGTTATCATTGATATCATTACTGGTATATTTCTTCACAATTTCATGATATTTTCATTACTACCACCACAAGGCCATTTACTTTGTTCTTCCTTGGTGTTCCTATTGTCAACAGTGGTTTATCTGCAATTTTTCCAATTCTTTTGGCCTCCCTGTCACTCTCTATTGCTGGTGTCTCCGTGGATATGTTATACTCCATATGTTCTCCGAATATAAAAGATGGGTGTTCCTCTTACCAGTTTTACGCGATGCCAGATACCTAAAACCGACTCCAATACAGAAGTGCAAGTGAGTGGGCAGTTAAATCAAGGAATAGGTTTGTTAAGAAGGCCAGGTCAAAACTATCCAAGGATATTCCTCCAAAGACAACTGTAATAAAACATGTTAGTTTAGTTTATCTTTATTCCCCTTTCTATTCAAGCACGAGGTGGGATCATGAACTCCCCGGTTCAGAGGAACCGCAGCTTGCAGATGTAGGGGTGTCTGTCGCCGCAGTGGACGTCCTGCAGGTAGTATCGCTTCTCGGCGGTCATGACGGTGCAGTGCTCGCGGGGCTGGTTGTCGTGGCTGTGGCTGGGCTCCCCCGTGGCCCAGTACGGGGGCCCGCCCGGGATGTTCTCGCCGTTGACCCACGTCCACTCCTCGTTGCCCGAGATGTCCACGCCGCCCACCCAGTACGAGTTCGCTTTCTCTGTGGATGGAAACAGGTTTGTGAATCCATCTATCTATCTAATCAGCTACTATGTATGATACACTTATTCTCCACAGTCATTCCTCCACTATTTTCAGCATCATTAGGCTTATAGAAGTCCACAGCCAGTGACTATGTGCAAAGGGTATTTAGGACCAAAATGTTAATAAAAAAACCTGCGGCCTCCAGGTGATGCGCCATGTGTGTGAACTCATTGCAGCTGCTGGGGTAGTACAGTTCCCCTCCTACTTCATCGTACTGGCTTCGGCAGTTCCTCTCCGCCTCCTCCCAGGTTTCCAGTCGGTCATTGAACACGTAACAGAAATCACCCACCTTGCAGAGGGGAAATCAAGAAAATTAGAAGGGATTCTGCACAGTTACACTTCTCATGAATCGGGGAAAACAGAGAGGTATGCCAGTTATATATTACAATGGAGTATAGGGATTTCAAATAGATTTGATGGCATAGAAGACGTATCCCCATTTCAACAGGCAGGACGTACTTAAAAAAAAAAAAAGTTGCTTCACCATAGCAAATAAGATTTTTTTTTTTCTTACGTACGTCTTATATACCGTCAAATACGATGTATTACGCGAAAAAGGACCAAGGCCTTGTTACCAGAATGCCGTGGTTTTCGCACTCCATGTCTCGTGCGCGCTTCGTTGCAGCCTGTTCTGCTTCGTCTTTTCTCGCAAGATGCTTCTCGCATACAAAGGATCTAGTTGAAGGTTTCTGCTTTAATGATTGTTGATTCAAAACATAACGCATGAAGATCATAATCCTTATTAGCATATGCTAGAGGAAACTTTTCTTTGTCATTTTTTGGTAAATCTTTAATAATATCACCTAGTTTCCTAGACGCAATGAGTACCTCCTGCTCCTATTTTTTTCTATCTGGTATCTCGAGAGTAATACTGTGTGTATGTTAGTGTTTGCAAATTACTTCTAGATGCACGAAATATTAATTGTACATACAACGGAAGCTCGCAGTGAGCGTCTACCAGCCGGTTGTAATAGTCCAAAGAGATGCTGACGCAGTCCCGTGTTCCATCGTAATCCTCATTGTAGTACCAGAAAGGCACGCCCGTCTGCAGGTCCTCGCCGCTTATCCACTGCCACATGTTGGGCGTGAAGGCCGAGTGCGCGCCCACCCACATTCCGCTGATATTGGGAGCTGGGATTAAAGGAAATCATGATAATGTGAGGTTCATGGGAGCCCATGCTCTGCTTGCGCTCATCTGGAATTTGTCCATGAATGTGTTTGTAAGCATATCTTATGATATTGCAAACATACGTGTATGTGAATACTCAGGTGAGTACTCCTATATCCTCATTAACTCGTCAACTCATATTTTTTTTATAAGTACCGTTGAATTCAAGGTATCTGGAGAAAGCTACAAAATTATCGCAGGAAGGGAAGGAGGCCATGTCAGCCCCTCCTCCGTCGCCCGCGAGGCCCTTGCAAAAGTCCCTCGCCTCCGGCCACGACAGGCGAAGGTCCGACTCCACGTAGAGGCATTTGGACCCCACCATGGTGAACGGCGGGTTGCAAGCTTGGCCTGCGACAGAATAGCGAGATCATTTTCTTTCCTCTTTAAAGAACAGCAGTAGCAGGTATACGCATAGACAATAAAAATAACATGGAAGATTCTTTTTATGTTCCTTTAGAGGCATGTCAACAAACCTAATTATTTATCTACCTTTAATCTACTGCTGTCAGGAAAATGTAATGTTCACTGTAGTTTTGTTTTGTGAAATGTAAATGGTTACACAAGTTAGTGAGTAGACCTTGTGATCTCACCTGATTTTACCGTTCCTGGAGTTTTCAGGAAAAATGTATTCTTTTTTTTTTACTACTACTTACAGTATCGATTCTGTTATTATAATATTTATGATCATTATGTTATCAATATTACAGTAAAATTAAAGAAAATATATCCGAAAATCAAGGAAAAGGATAAACAGGTGAAATAGATTGTACTAGTACTTGACTCCTTGATGATTTAGCATTTATGGAGCCATTCATGTGCAAAGACAGTTGATAAAGTCATCTCAATGTGGGCACGGCATGCACTGTAGATACATGGCCTTCCGGCGGCATTGCGAAAAGTGTAATATCAAGGACACCTGAAACATCCTGCCTCAGGTCGCGAAAGCAAGCAAACTCACCAGCCACAGCCACAGCCAAGCCCAGCACCAGCGCGAGAGAAAGCCTCTTCATCTCCATGTTGTTCTTTAGTGAAGCTCAGAACTCAACGACGCCTATTTATATGTAGTTCCGCCAGTTCATTGGTTTGGTTGCTAAGCGTTAAAAAAAAAAAAAAAAAAAAAAAACAATGTGGGAGTATCATTGCAGTTTTCTCACGGCTGTCTGCATGAATGTGAAATTTATCCAGTTCGTCTGCTGTCGTTTCTTTTTTTTTTTTTTTTTTTTTTTTGTGTGTGTGTGTGTGTTGTAATCTTACCTACTTAATGTTTAACGTTTGTTTTGTGCTTTCAACTCACCTGATAGACGGATGACTTTATTTTTGTTCAAAATCGTCATATTTTCAAATCAGAGCTAAAAAAAAAGTCACTGAATGTATATCATTGGTTCCTTAACTTCAGTATAATAGTAAAAGTGCTTTGCACTGAAACACTGGACTACCCATGAATAGGTGAATGGATGGCCCATATGAGACCATTAAAAGCAAGAAACAATAAGATTTGAAAGAGTAATACAAGTAAAACTAAAATGTACATTTTGGTTAAATGTTTTTCTTTTTTTTCCAACGTTTAAAGAGAACACACATTTTTTGTTCGCTGAGGAAGATCAAATGCCATATACTCTGCAAAGAGTAGAGTGTCTAAGTGTTCCATTTCAGTGCAGGGGAAAATAGGCAAAGGATACTGAAGTGCATCTTTACCTTCTGAAGGTTTCTTGGTCCTGTTGATCGTTTCGTTCAGGGGCGCCATCCTTTAGAGCATCAGAATAGCGATTCTCATTTTGATAGGACTGTGATGATATTCTGAGGAAGGATTGGTCATGGCGCAGGAGCCAGTCGATTAGATTTTGTTGATGAGGATCAGTTTTCGCATCCAGGGGCCGGATTCACTAACATAGGATCGTAACGCATTTACCAGCGGTCATTTACCATTGCGTTTACCAGTCATGGCAAAGTGGTATTCACGAAGAAATGGTAATTTGGATATGCTGAGTTACAATCGTAAATCGACTCATTCTAATGGTAGCCAACAGAGGGCTCTGGTAAAGCAATTCCACCAATCAGTGACCGCCACACATAATCTTTTAGGTTCCTTCGGCCAATCACGTAACATGTAAACAGAACTAGACACCGAGATTGTTTAAATAATCGTCAGAGCTAAAACATTATTTAAGCACATGTAGAAAAAACGAATATATTTATTTGATTACATCCATCATGTTGGATATATATTTACTGTATATATGCGAACCAATACAAACACTGTTATATTAATATATTATTGTTAACTCAAACCAAAGAGACAGTCCAAACAGCTTTTTATTTATATATTTTTCATCATTGCCAGTTTATATATCAGCAAGGTAGTTTTTCTAAAGCATTTGTAATAATTATGTCAGAGATTTTTTTTTATAAACGTTCTTATTTATCGGTTCCATGCATTCTAGTATAATGTAGGCCTATAAGTTTACGAGAATTTGTGCGGATTTTATTCTTGCTAGTTTCATGCGAAATATCATCACTATGTCCGCATTGTGATATCTGTTTGCCATCATACTAGTTATATCAGGTGTAAAAACAAACTCAGAACTTTGCTTAGATATTGTTTTTTTGACGAGGTAACACGTGATGACATCGTCTTCCCAGAAGTTACCAGTGTTCTGACCCCTGGTGAAATTTACCATGGCAACTCCAATGGCAAGTTGTTAGTGAATACCACCGCTGTCTGTTTACCATGGTAACTATAGCTACCAGTGATTTTACCATCGTAAGTGCGTTAGTGAATCCGGGCCCAGGATTTTAGTGACTGATTCTTCACTATTGCGGTCTCTCAAGGAAAATGGAGGTCTATTGGTAGGAGATAGATTTTCTCTTCAGTTTCTCCTCTGTGCCCCCCCCCCCCTTTGTCTCATCATTAATGACCCCACCTTGAACATGCATCTGTATCATGTGTAACCGTATTATTTCTATTGATATTACTGCTGTGACACTATCATGTTCAGCTTAAAAACAAGGATGACGGTCAAAGAATCATACTCCAAAGCTCATTGTTGTTTATTAAAAATTGTTTCAATTTTGAACCTGAAGCAAGAAAGTGCTTCGAACATATCATGAATGGAAACATACATTATCTCCTAAACAAGTGTGAGTTTGAGGCTCTGATCTCCCTATCAAAATCAAAAGAACCGAAGCTTGCAGATGTAGGGGTGTCTGTCGTCGCAGTGGACGTCCTGCAGGTAGTACCGCTTCTCGGCGGTCATGACGGTGCAGTGCTCGCGGGGCTGGTTGTCGTGGCTGTGGCTGGGCTCCCCCGTGGCCCAGTACGGGGGCCCGCCCGGGATGTTCTCGCCGCTGACCCACGTCCACTCCTCCTCGCCCGAGATGTCCACGCCGCCCACCCAGTATGCGTTCGTGTCCTCTGTGGGCGGATTTCAACTCAGTTTTGAGGAAATAAAAAGTATCTTAAGCTAATGCGACAGCTACAGGTAGCCTGTCACTGAAAAGGAACCTTCTTCCACTGACGTGAACGTTCACATGATCCACACACTAAACATATCTATATGCTGCAGTCTTTCATATCTAACTGTCTATCTACAAACATAATACATACATACATACATACAGTTCAGTGGTATGGAGTCACAAGATGGGCACCTACTCTAAGAGATCTGAGTTACGAAGATAGACTATAGAAATTAGGACTTATTACTTTGGAAGAAAGAAGGAAAATGTACATCAATTTAAAAAGTTATACGACAATTTAAATACGGGAGAAGAGCTTAGCTCTTCTCCCGTATTGAAACAACTAGGTATGAACAACTAGGTAAGAGCATACATACATACATACATACATACATACATACATACATACATACATATATATATATATATATATATATATATATATATATATATATATATATACATACACACACACACACACACACAACACACACACACACACACACACACACACACACACATATATAATATATATATATATATATATATTATATATGTATGTATATATATGTATGTATGTGTATGTGTGTGTGTGTGCACACGCGCGCGCGCGCACACACACACACACACACAAGTATATCCATAGCACATGCCACCCACCTGCGGCCTCCAGGTGATGCGCCATGTGCGTGAACTCATGGCAGCCGCTGGGGAAGTACAGCTGGCCTCCCTGCTCGTGGTGGCCGGTCCGGCACTTCTCCTCCGCCCGGTCCCAGGTTTCCTCTTGCGGGTAGAACACGTAGCAGAAGTCTCCCACCTTCGGGAAAGAGACGGACGGCCAGGTGAAAGGGCCGACGCGGAGAGGTAAAAGCGAGCTGACTGCTAGGCGCAACAGCTGCTAGCATTTCATGTTGCAAGGACGTAGACCCGCTTTATCGATACGTAGGCTGAGGTAGATTTAAACATTGACATTATAGTGTTAAGGACGTTTGATTGCATTCGGTCACATGTATCCAAGGAACGAGGGTCATGAGAGTAGTTACCACAATGCCGTGGTCATGACATGCTGGGTCCACAGCGGCTTTGGGCTCCGACACCGCCTGCGCCTCCTGCCCTCTGCTCATGGGCGGCACCTCGCACACGAAGTTTCTGGACAGAAAAGAATTCGTGTTTTCGAGTGCCGCACGTTCGGGCCTGAACAGCTCATCCTTTATTACTTTATTACCTCTCATATACAGATATGTATATACAGTATAAGTATATGTATATGTATGTATATATATATATATATATATATATATATATATATATATATATATATATAATACATATACACATACATGCATTAATACATATATATGCATATATACATACATACATACATACATACATACATACATACATACATACATACATACATACATACATATATATATATATATATATATATATATATATATATATATATATATATATATATATATATATATATATATATATATATATATATATATATATATATATATATATATATATATGTGTATGTATGTATATATGCACACATACACATATATACTATATACTGTATGTTGTTTGTATGCATGTATATGTATATTAGCGTTTACATTTGTATACATACATGCTTGAATGCGTTGCCATCTCTGTATGCCTGTATCACACGTATCCCAGATGCACAATAAAAGCTTCCAGCTGCAAGAGACTTACTTGACGAGGTCGCAGCGGGCGTCGATCAGCCGGTAGTAGTAGTTCGCGTCGGCAGCGGCGCAGTTCTCTGTTTCATCGTACTGCTCATTGTAGTACCAGAAAGGCACGCCCGTCTGCAGGTCCTCACCACTCACCCACTCCCACGCGTTGGGCGTGAAGAGAGTACGGGCGCCCACCCACACCGACTTGTTTAAGGGAGCTGGCGATTCGGATTGGGGAAAGATTCAGTGCGCGCTTGTACTGTCCTCCAGGATGTTCTGATACATACATGCATATATACATACATACATACATACACACATATACACACATGCACACGTACATACATACATACATATATATATATATATATATATATATATATATTATATATATAATATATATATATATATATATATATAAAACGCATTTATGTATATGTAAGAACTGGTAATGGATTACAATAACAAAGATATCAAGGCAAATTCTCCCACTCCAACCAAGCTAAAGATGCCAGTGAAGCCGCCTCCTTTTACCCACCGTTGAGCGCAAGGAACCTTGCAAAATGCACGTAGTCGTCGCAGGTCGGGAAGGCTGCGAGATCCCCTCCGCCAGAGTCACTCCCAAGGCCCCTGCAGTAGTCCCTCGCTTCCTGCCACGACATCTCCGCGGCGGTCTCCAAATACACGCACTTGGAGCCCACCAGCGTGAACGGCGAGTAACATGTCTGGCCTTAGATGCAGAAGGCAAGGTCATTCATGTTTTGCTCAGAACGGGTTCAGTCCCTGCGCAATTGTTCCATGATGAACGTTGGGAATAGAGGGAAAGGTGATAACTCAGAGTTTATTGTAAATAACGTATTATATGTGAATGGGAATGAATAATCTTAAAGAACAGATGTAAAGTCGATGAAGATAAAATTGGAACGCACCAAATATATCTCCTAACCAGTGCAGTTACGCATTCTAATCAATTCCCTTTTCCAACAAGAATAACTCAGGATGACAATCTTCCATCAAAATCCCCCATTTCCAACGTATATATATATACACAATTACATGCTAAGCAACTCACCCGCTACGGTGCCTGCCAAGCCCACAGCAAAAGCTAGGGAGACGAACGCCCTCATCTTCATAATCTCGATTCACCTCACCAGGAACTCCCACCGACCTTCGTATATATAGCCTATATGGGGCCCCGCTCTCATCTGCCACGTGTTCACAAAAAAGTAGGGAAATCTATAGTCGTCTCTCTCACGGTGGGTTGGTCATGCGGGAAATGACAGACCATTTTACATCTGTTTATCTGCACGTTCCTTGTTGCTGTTCTCCTTTGTTCCCTCTGAGTGGTTGTTTGAAACGACGGAGCTACCTGCTGTGGCGTGTTGGCTACGTAATCGAAACGCCCAGTTTAAATAAGTACAGAAATTCGTATAATACATACATATCTTTTCACATACATTAGACCTGTGCACAAAACGGGTGTCTATTTGTCACTTATATCAAATATTTAGTGGCAACACTCTTGAATGCGTTATTGCTTGCCGGTGAAGCATAACAGAAAAATATCCAACCGATATGCTATGCCTTCCACATCTCACTCTACAAAAAAAAAATAATAAAATAAATAAAAATAAATAAAAATGTATCTGTACATTTTATATAATATAAAACCAGAATATTAGTCTCCAACGTGGATGTAACGGGTAAGAGTATATGAAATATATGAAAAAAGTAATCAAAATATGGTATTTAATTTTCTAAAATCTGTTCTTTGTCAAGGACTTCATAACAAACATGCAAAAACAGGTTAGTTACGATCCATGTAAATTTGCCACACACGCCTTTGCCTAAGCCTGAACCTAGTAACAACAAATCTACCTCATCATCGTCCCCACGAAATGAGATCACGGAGCGCTGTAAAGGTGGCTCTGTAAATAGTGCAATGCCAAACAAATGCAAGACTCAATATAAGACCTATCATATCCACTCCCTGTAACCTGAAGTACAACAACATCAACGACAATGATGATGATAATTATGATATAGATGATAATGAAAATAATTATGATAAGAATGATGATTAAAATAATAATGATAATCATAATGATATGAAAAATGAGATAGGAAAGAAAGAAAAGAAAAGGGAGAATAGAATGGGATAGATAGATATGATTATGAATATGGAGGGATCGATGGACACCAGTCTTTTCTCCAATGCTGACGGGGCAAGGAGGTCTCGCAGTGTTGCAAGAAAGAAGCTTATGAACAGCAATGGTGACGATGACTCAGGCGAGGAATACAATCCTCGGATCGATGGACACTTTGCAATGCCGTTTTCCATCGAACAGCTGAGGAGTCATCAGTCAACTTTTCTTGCTTGAATCCCTAAGCTCAAGCGTAACTTTGTGACGACACACGAAATATAAAAACGTAAATGTTTTTACTCAATAAGGAACCACAAACGAACTATTCGCGTATGTGAATCAACTTAAATGATTATTACATAATTTGTAATTTTATATGAGTAGAATCCATGTGACATTGCCTCTAAAGAAAACTTCTTCATTTATATTTTTTTCTTTATAATCCAGTCTTTATACTGCAGGTAATTCTTATCTGAATGTTTACTTTTGTAGAAATATATAAATATCACAGATAATAAAGGCGGAAATAAGGTTACATATATTTTCTTTCTTGAAATTCTAACCTCATTGTCATATATTCAAAACTCCATCAAATTATTTCTCCTTGTTTTTTTCCTCGAACAAAAACAGAGCTTGGTAATAATTGAATAGTCATTAACAATATCTCGTGAAGAAAATGGAAAATATCGTTTGAACTATTCCGAAACAGACGAAAAGTAATGAAACTACGTTCACCTATTGAAAAGAGCATTAAGCCAAAGCATAATTATAAAGATAATTGTGCACATGACAGAAAAACAAAGAAGTGAAAGAAAAAAAGGGATTTCAAAATACAAGCGTCACCCAAATACTAACAGGTGTTCCATTTCACAATCCAATCTATTTCGTTGGTAAGATTCTCACGGTTAGATTAGAGCGTGTTTTTTTGTTTTTTTTTCGCAATAGACTCTCCGAACTCATCGAAACACTAAACATCATGTGTTTATGGCTCTGCTGAGTAACGACGAATCGAATACAGACGTGTACACGTGCATGCCAAAAGAAATACCTAAACATGCATAAAATAAACAAACAAGCGCACATAAGCGAGCGCGCGCGCGCATACACACACACACACGCACATCTCTCACTCACAGTGCACCAAGACACCACCAGGAAACAGACACTCACACAGACTGAGGAAAGTTGTCTTGTTATGGAAACGAAGGAGGCTCGGATCAGCTTCATATTTCACGGTGGGAGAGGGGGGGAAGGTCACATCCCTCCTTCTCCTTCCCTCCCTCCCTCTCCCTCTCATTTACTCTTTCTCTCTCCCCTTCATCATCTTTCCTCCATCCCCTTCTCTTCATCTGTCCTCTCAACTCTTTTATATCCCCTCTTTCTTCAATCATTCTCCCCCTTCCTCTTTCCCTTCTCTTTCCCTTCCTCCTCCCCTACCCTTCTTCTCTTCCCCCCCCCCTCACAATTTCACTTCTCTCTTCCACCCTTCCTTTTCCTTCTTCGTCCTTCATATCCATCTTCTATTCCTCCTCCTTTCCCCTTCTCTTGTCCGTTCTCCTCACTTCTTCTATCCTTCCCTTCGTAGAGAAATGGCTGTTGCTACTGTTAACTGACGTAAGAAAAAGGAAAGAAGAAAAAGTGAATCTATTATATTAGTGAAAAAAAACAAATATTTAGTTTAACAATAAAGAACGTCTTTCCTACATTTATAGCAACCTCAAAAAAATAAAGAATAAAGAAAAAAGTAAATTAAACATATTAGAAAAAAAAATCTTTCATATTTATAGTAACGCCATTCCGAGATAAGTATATCAACATCAAATAATGAAACAAAAAAGAAAGGTCGACAGAAAGAAAAAAAAAATCACTGATAATGAGTATATCATCTTATCATCATCATGATAATGCCGACAAAACTAGTATTGCACTAAATTCATGATCATATTTAGAGAGTGACGTTGAAACGATTATAAACTTTTTATAATAAGTTATAAACTTTTTATAATAATAATAATAATAATAATAATTATTATTATTATTAATATTATTATTAATATTATTAATTAATTAAATTATTATTATTAAATATTAATAATAATTTAAATTAATAATAATAATAATAATAATAAGAAGAAGAAGAAGAAAAAGAAGAAGTATATATACTACTTGAGTGCAGACTTGAAATTTCTCCATTTTGATATTACATGTTGAAGAATCACTCAAATACATCTATAGGACATCACGTTGAGAATCAATAAAAATCATATTCGAGGTCATCAGTTATCATAAATAATATCAGCACTATCGTTATTGTTATCATGGTTATTATTACTGCTATTATCATTATTTTCATTGTCATTATCATCTTCATTTATATTATCATTATTATCAACATGATCATGATCATTATCATCAATATTATCACTCATTTTTCTTCTTCAAGGCAGTTACGCTACTTTCAAGTAGTTACGCCGCCATCTTATGGACAAGAATAAAATAATGATAGTAATAATAACAATAATAATAACAATAGTGATAATAATCATAAATAATAACAATAATAGTGATAATAGTAACAACACCAACACAATAATAATGATAATGATAATAATTTTAACAACAATGACAATGATAATAATATGATAATGATAATGATAGTAATAACAGTAACGATACTAATAACAACAATAATGATAAGGATAATAACAATAATAATAATAATAATAACAATAATGATAATATATAATAATAATAATAATAATAATATAATAATAATAACAATGAAGATAATATAATAATAATAATAATGATAATGATATTGACAATAATGATAATGATGATAGCAATAATAATGATATTGATGGCGCTAGTAATAATAGGAACGATACTGCAAGTACTACTACCACTACTATTACTAGGTATAATACTAATGATAATTTTAATGACAGTAATGGTACTGACACTAAGGTTGATATATATACTTATAATCATAATAAGACATTAATGAAAATGTTGGGAATACAAATAATAATATTGATAGCAATAATTTATAAATAGTAATGTTAATGATGATAATAGAAATAATGATGATAATAATGAAATGACAATAGAAATAGAGATAATCGTAAAGAAAATAATGATGACAATAGTAGTAGCGATAGTAGAACTATAATGATAATTGCAATCATGATGATAATTATGATATTAGTAATAACAATAATGATGATAGTAAAGATAATATTGATAATGATATTGATAATGAGGATAAGAATAATGATATTGATAATAATAAAAGCAAAAGAATTATATTGATAATAATAATATTGATAATGATAATGGTAATAATGATAATAATAATAATGATAGTGATAATAATACCAATAAGGATTGTAACAATAATAATAATGACAATAGAAATAGTAGTAGTAGTAGTAGTAGTAGTAGTAGTAGTAGTAATAATAATAATAATAATGATGATAATAAATAAATAATAATAATAATAATAATAATAATAATAATAATAATAATAATAATAATAATAATAATAACAATAATAATAATAAAAAAAACAAATAATAATGGTGATGATAATAAAAATATTAATAATGATAAGCATAATGATAATAGAAACAACAATAATGATGATGATGATGATGATGATAATAATAATAATAATAAAAATAATAATAATAATAATAATAATAATAATAATAATAATAATAATAATAATAATAATAATTGTAATAAGAATAATGAAAAAATATAACGACAGTAATAATTACAATCATGGTGATGATGATTATAATAACAATGGTGATAATAATAGTAATAATAATGAAAACAATAATTGTAATAATGATGATAGCAATAACAATAATGTCTATTGTAATTGAATAAAATTATTGGTAATAAAAATGGTAATAATAATAATTATCATAAAAATAACAATTATAATAATAACAAAAGTAATAACAAAAATTATAAAAATCCTATCACAGTAAAAACTATAATAATGATAATAATGATAGTGAAAAGATAATGCTAATAATGACAATA